CGATTTCAAGTGTAAAAATACACAAATTAAAATTATATTTAGGCGGAGATAATGTATTGATATAGCTGCAAAAAAAAATATGATTCTATTTTTATATGTTAATACGAAAGGACCACTTTATTATATTAATACCATTCGATAAAAATGAACGTTTTGACTGTTGCATTATCATATTCAATCACAGTATCTTTCTTTTCAATGTTCTTCTATTTCTCAATCAAGATAATCCACATCTTCTTCTATCTCTTCATCTATTTCTCCATCATCATTTTCTTCTCCCTCATTTTCCTGTTCATTATCATTTCGTATACCATGTCTCCGTTCATTTTTCCCTCCTTCATTTTCATCAAGTTCATCTATATTGAGAGGTGTTTTCAAACACTGCTCGAAGTGTCCACCACTCATACGGACGCTACAACGTGCTCTGCGCTTTATCCTACCTCATCCATGTGATCGCTCATTTGTAGAGTAGTATGAGGAGAAGCGCTATCTGCATATAAATGATTTTGGCTTACTGTTCTGGTGTCAAAATGTCATCCAAAGAATCTGAGAGATTATGCTGTAAAAAATCAAGTAGATGTCACCGTTTAGATTTTGAGGCGATTGTACTGATCCCACTAACTAATTGAAAATTCTTTCCGCTCATATATTAACAGAATAACGATGCTGTATTCGATCTCTAATTGATATAGAACATATTCATTACAGATTAACATGAAATCAATAGGTTAATAACCATTTCTTTTCCTGAATTGCAATTATTTACTTATATTTTGTTAACAGTATATTCAAAAATATGTAACGAAAATTTCTAACATCAATATTTATTATATTTTACTTCTTATTTGTTAAGTAAAAAGCGAGGATTTGTCAAAGGGATCATTTTCAAACAGATTTGAAACAGATAGTCAAATTCTGTGATATGCATGAAAATAGCTTTACGTTCTCGGACCAAGTACTGATTTTCATGACACTCGGAATGTTCATTGCCTTGATTAAACATTCCAACACGTCGAAATCTCAATTCATCCGTCCACAAAATACTATCACATATTCAATCATTCTGTTTAATCTCATTCCATAGCCAGTCACTATATTGTAGTCGTGCTGCCGAATCTTCAGATTCTGTTAAAAATATTTCTGGAATATAATCTTGATCTCTTGACTGAATATGGATCATATATGTACATCTTTGAATAACTGTATTCAATTTCAATGAAATTTTACAAAACTTTTTATACACGATGGCTTCCGAGGTCGCTGAACCCATATTTAACATCAATTATTAAATAACGTACAAAAATTAACTTTTTTAAAATAATTTGCATCAAACAAAATTACTAGATATACAAATGCGCTTAAGTAATTTTTTATTTTTATGTGAATTTTGGAATAATAGAATCATCACTTAAATCGCTTAGAAAAGGCGGATACCGACAATAATCATGATAATATAATTTACGACCTAAAAAATTCTATAAATACAAATTTCTATGCCTATGAATTGTTCAATAATCCTCACCAGTTAAGAAACTAATTGAAATTAATGAATAACATTAGAAGATTATTTCAATAAATGTTTTGAATAGTACGCACGAAGAACTAAAAAATGATCTATCAAAGTTTTTTCTAAGATTATTTTTTAATAAATCCGCGGATCACCAAAGCTGGAATACCATTTTTTTAAATTTTGCTCATGATTCCGTGAAAGAAGGCGGTACTTAATTCGGTCTAGCAAGTCATGAGGTAATACAATTAAGAAGAATGTCTATGGTTTCAGTTTGCAAGCCATTCTAAACTTAGATTATAAAACTTATCTTTATCCTGCCTACTATACTGCCCCTATATCGTATAGGGCTTACAAATTGTTATACACTTGCATAATGGAGCCAAAGTTATTCTATCTGACGACTTGAGTTTGCAGGTTATCGTATAAGAGTGATTCTCATCTAAAGTTCAAATTTCGACAGTCAATTAAGATTTTTAAAAATAGTTTAATTTTTCATTTCTATCACATGTAGTATGTTTGTACTAAGCTATAGAAGAAGTATATAGCGTGGGCATGCAGGATTCAAAGAATTAAACAAATTAACAAGAATTGTTAGCCAGGAGAATTACATGGATGCCAGGGGAATTTCACATGCCAAGGGAATTACATGACAATTTTTCTATATTTCCAGACTTTTATTATAAAATAGGCAATTTGGAATAATCACGTAATAAACTATTAAATGAGTGTCAAATTACCGCATATAATTAAATAAGCAATAGCTATTGCTTTAGAAGAAATAGCCTGCCAGGGAAATTACAATAAAAAGTATACGCGACTATACTCTTATTATATTTGATATAACTATTATATTTAATAATGTTATCGCTAATATTTCAATTGTACATTATAATGACAACCAAAATAAACAACTTCCAAGAAATAGCAACTAATTGTAATCAGAATAAGATTAACTTTAATATAATTTAAAAAAATCCTTAATTTTACGAAAAAATGTCGAAAGTACATAAACCCCTGTAACAAGCTCAAAATACAAATGATCCGTCTACCAAATATTTGATGAAATATTAACATACTAACTACAAACTTATGCCATGTGTACGAGTACGTTGATTCAAGGTTAATACAATCATATGTACAGCACCTTCAAAATCATGGAAAAACAATTACAGCCAGAAGACGTTACAATTTGACGAATATTTATTTGAAAAATAAATAAATAATGCGATATTGAAAAATGTTATGATGGTAAGTTATTTGGCTATAAAAAACAAACAAATCATAATTTTGATATTAATTTAACTCTGTGACGGTAAACGCCTTATTAGCGCTAACAGCGCAACCATGCGGCTGCCTGCGAGGGCAGCACCTACCGGTTGGGGAAAATGTAATGAGGGAATTCGGCACGAGACGAGACGGAACGCGCGCGTATGAAAATTCACCAGTCGATTATTAGAACCCGCACACTCAGTTGCAACAGAAATTAATTAGTTTTCCCGAGTTTTCTTGGAGTGCCGAGACGAGCTGATAAGGAGCGACAGGAGCTGTGCCTTCGCCTGAGTGAGACGAATGCGTGTAAGTGTGCGTGAGTGCGGGGTTTCGCCATCGAGGGCGAATCCGAAAGCGTGATCCGCTTGGTCACAGACGCGGACTTCCCCGAGACTTAATCACGAACTTTTTTTCTCGTTCTCCGTGCGACTGCTAATAAGGTAAGCTGACCAGCTTAATTTCGCGATTGCTATGATTGCTAATCACTAATCTTTCGTACTCCATAAGAAGCGTACATGTATTAACTCGGCGAACAAAGTGCGGCGACCGATCCGACACTGCATGTTATTGTCACGCGCGCGCTTTGTAAACATAAACACGCGGGCCTAATACATTGTAGAAATAAGAGGAAATAAACGATCTCGCATGTGATATTGTCTCTAATTTCGATGTTATTATTTCGCACTAGTAGAAAGTTGGTTGACTGGAAGTTGGTTCCCTCCTGCTCTCCGGTTTGCGTATTTAAATGTTTAGGTAATCCCGCGCGCTCTTCGATGCGATCGCGCGCATAAATAAAAAGACGGTTACCAACCCCGTTACAACTCATATTATTAGAGAGATTATATGTTACTTACATAAGTTTGAACTTTAGATGAGAATCACCTATAAGTAGGTTATAAAACTCAGTATGTTCTATACGATTTAAGGCTTGCAGGTCATCATAAAGTTAAGTTGTAAAACTCGTTGTTATCATATTTGCAGTGTTGAATTTGAACATTATCATACTTTAGGTTATACAACTCGTTAATATTCTGTCCGAGATGTAAGTCCTGTAAGTTATCGTGTACCTAAGTTATAGGACTATTACTGTAAAGCTGGTAGGATTTTGAGAACTAAAGTTATGAAACTCGTTGCTATCTTGTCTAGGCTATAGGCTTTGGAGGTTATAGGATATTTAGATAATAAAATTTCTTGTTACCCTGTCTGTGATACTGAGCTTGCAAGTTATCATGGATTTAAGTTGAGAAACTCTTTATCTTATTTATAGTGTAGGGTTTGGAAGTTTCGATGCTTTTACGTCGTAGACCTCACGATTTACCTGAACACTATTAGGGATTATAGATTATCGGGCACTCAGGTTATGAAACTCTTTGTTATTTTGTCTGTGATATAGAGCTCGCAGTTTATCGTGCATCCATCTAGTGAAACTTATTTTTACCCTGTTCTTTAAACACGCACGTGGTAAGCACGAATAAGCTTTAGTGATCCTTGTATAGTAGAATGATATTGCTTTTATTCTCACACCGGTATAATCCTTTCCTACAATAGTATATAACTTCATTAAAATTCAAGTGCATTTTAAAATCTTTTTAAGTTACCAGTTTATTAAAATTCAAGTACGTATTTTTAAGTTACCAGATTATTATCAAATACATGATTAACGTACAAATTCGGATTTATTACAAAAGTCGGTGCATATAATAGATAATATTCCGGCGAGTGATATATCGGCCCTTCCATATCGGTAGCAGGCATAACGGGCCATTGTAACATCTCTAAACTGTACGCTGGTATCAGGTGGCTACAGGATTACATTATCGATTGACGCCTTTACTCAAATGGTTAATACGTCACCTATCGGATGTGACAGACTCAATGGAGTGACATTAGATGATCTCTATAATTGAGATTCTGTCACTTATTTTTAAGAACAATGACAAAACAAAACAATCGTCTTTCTTATCGATCCATGATATATCTTTGTTACGCAACGAGGCTTCCAGGTTTATTTTCCTGCTTGTGTTGATGATTAGTTTTATTTTTATCCAACCGCCAGCAAATCTATATAAGTGAAATTAGCAGATTTACTGTGAAGAGAGCGTGATACTTTGTAATTTCGATTTATATTTATTCATTTTCAAATTCTTTGGCAATTTTATTTATATATTATACAATGCTTGAACTGACTTATTTAAATAGATAAATTATGTTTTATGAATAGGTAAGACAATGTTGCGAAGAAAAAATGGTCGCAGCACATGTTGCATGGTTGCATACTGAAGTTGATGCAATGGTTGAGCATGAAAGAAGAAAAGATTTATCACTTATCTATCCATTACTCAGACCACTTCCATCAGGTTTAGCTCATCTTGTACGAAAACTTACACAACATGTGACGAACGAAGGTCTTCAAGCGATAGGCTCTCTTCATGGCGATAATGTAACCGCAAAGCTAATAAAATACAAGTGGAAAAATTAGAATTATTTTTGAAATTTACTCTTATTATAGGTACATACGCAATTTGTTGAAAATATGTTAGAAGTACATGCTAAATACTCGAATTTGATAAAAGATTTATTCAAAGGAGATCAAGTTTTTGTGGGTGCCCTAGATAAAGCATGTTCGGCAGTTGTGAATCATAGAATGTCTCCCAGGCAATTGGCTCGTGCACCAGAATTGGTAACTATTAACTTGTTTTATTTAATTATCAGTCATCAATACGTTTATTAATACATTTATAATTTCGCCATATGAGAAAATCCACGAAACTTTTAATTGTTTTTCAAAACATAATCAATTTTTTTATTTTGAAGCACACATTTTAAACTTATTTAGAAATTATTCAGATTTGATAAATTTTGTGATAATGGAAAGAAGGGAAATAGTGAGAGATGGAAATTCACTTAATTTTAATTATATTCAGTAATTCGATCTTATGAATTCAAAGAAACTAGTTGTTCTGTTTTCTTTGTAGCTGTTGTCTAATCCAAGGCTGTTTTTAATATATAACATACTGTCTTGATTCCCGTATAATTTTCTCAAATGATAAATTTAAGAATGAATGATAAATTCATAAGATCGAATTGCTGATTTCGCCATTGTTAGAAAATAAGAATGGATACTTTGAACATCTGATTCACAATTAAATCAATTTCTACAAAAAAATTGAGCTAACTTGCTGAACCTCTACGCGATCTTGCCTTAACTGGTAGGATCTCTACACGACCTTGCATTAATTTGCTGGATCTGTACACAACCCTGCCTTAACTAGCTTGGTCATTAAAAATACAAACCCTTCCATAGGGTCTGTAAGACCTTGCAAATGGTAGGAAGGCTCAAGCATTAAATTTAAATAGCTAAGGGCTAGTGTTAACTATGTGAGTTCACACGTTATCGAGCCCCGTAGATGTTTAAATCAGTGCAAATCAAGAAACAGCCTAAAATATTCTGGAAAGTGTGAAAATAAGGGTACCAGCGATTCATCATTTATTTACAAAATATCATCTGAACGTAAAATGTTATGCAGGATTTGAATCTCCAGTCAAAGATACGGATTTCAATTGAAAACGTAACATTGACCTTGAAATTACCTGGAGAGAGTAGGTTAATGGGAAAATCATCCGTACCCCGCACATGTAACTTTATCTGAACGTAGATTTTGACAAGGAACCTAAATCCATTATCAAAAATAGGGGTTTCCGTTGAAAAAACAACATTGACTTGGAAATAACTTTGGGGGTGGGCAATTGGGGGGGGGGGGGGGGGGTGGCCACGGAACTCCACACATATTACATGATCTGAACGTAGAATTTCACGAGGAATCCGAATCCGTGTTAAAAAATAGGAGTTTCTATTCAAAAACAGCATTGACCTTAAAATGACCTTGACGGATCGCGTTCAAGGTCAAATTCAAGTACATCAACACATGGCCCCCTTGATCCTGAATAACTTTCATATGAATTATTTTTTAGCTTTCCGGGCTTGTTTCCAAGATATTCAGTTGTGCAAGATACGAGGTGTGTTCAAAAAGTAACGAGAATTTTTAAATTTCGCGGGTTTGGAGAGTCCGCTTGTATAAAATTTTTGCGTCGAGGCCGCATCTGTAGTGAACGTTTTTGAGCAATCACTAGTAGTTTTATTCAAGTTAGTTTCAAATTTTTTGTTCTATAACACCCTTGCGGAGGGAGGAAAATTGTCAAAGGGTTGGCTGCGAGACATCGAAGGATTGGCCGATAGTCGTTGTCCACGGGTTATGATCACAATAATTCTAACCTATTATTGTTAAAGTCAGTAAATACCATCTATTCAACCGCACGTAAATCTTTGCAAATCTCTTCGATATTGTTGCTTGCTAGTCCATTTACCACATTACTAGTTATTTTATTTTTCTGCATTATCGAGAATAGGTCAATGTTTAATAATTTTGATTGTATTGCGGTGCTGGCTGACGCATCATTGTGTATCACTATCATACTGACTTTTATTTTCGCTGTTCGATCAGTTATATTAAGCAAGTATTATTTATGTAGATTAATTCCTTAAATCTATATGAATAACTTAATTCTATTGGTTAAGTATCCAAAATTACTAAATATGAGGTCAGATATTGTTGATAATTATAGTAAGATTACGAGGGTCGTTTGAAAAGTCCGTGCAAAGTCAGAGAGATGGCGCTACTTGTGCGTATCAAGGTTATTTTCAGTTAGTGGCATATCTTGAAACAGCACACACCAAGTTTCAGCCAGATCGGCCAATTACTTTGTGTTTTACATTCGTTTCAATCAAAGAAATCGAGTGATTGTAAAAAAAATGACGAAAAAGAATTTCGTGTATTGATTAAACATTACTTTTTCAAAGGCAAAACGCCTCAGGAGATTAAACAGAAGCTTGATAAACATTATGGTGACTGTGCACCTTCGATTAGAATGGTTTATAAGTAGTTTCAAAATTTTCGGAGTGGCCATATAAGCACAAAAGACGCTGAACGTTCTGAACGCCCTGTTGAGCTTACCACTTCAGAAATCATTGATATAATCCATTATATGGTGATGGCTGACAGAAGAGTGAAGGTGCGTGAGATTGCTAGTACTGTAGGTATCTCGAGTGAATGGGTACATAATATTTTGCACCAACATTTGGACATGAAAAAGCTATCCGATAGATGGGTGCCGCGATTGCTCACGATTGACCAATAACGAGATCGTGTGATGTGTTGCAAGAATGGTTTGCAGCTGTTCCAGCAAAATCCGCAAGACTTTAAGCATTCTTTCATCACTGTAGATGTAACATGAATACATCACTACTCTCCTGAGACCAAAAAATAGTCTAAACAATGGGTTACCAAGAGTGTAACGTGTACGAGTATAAGCCTAAAAGGAGACTATGTTGAAAAATAAAAAAGATTTATTAAAAAAAATCAAGCAGTTTTTATTTTTGCACGGACTTTTCAAACGACCCTCGTTATTCAGTTGCGTCAAAATTATAGAATTTCAAATTTATTGCTTATGCTTCAAACTCCGAAAATAACTAATTCCGAAATACTAATTTATGGTCAAAATTCGAAAAATAACATGTCAGGTTTGAATTTATCATTCAAGTTCGGAAAATACAACGTAGAATCTGAATATAACGTGTCAGATCTGAAAATAATGTCAGAAAATTCGACGGATTTTATAAGTTTCTAAAACAATATAATTTAAAATTTGTTTTAGATAATACAAGCTGAATATTTATCCAGACATAATATAATCTGCACTTACAAGAGAGAGATACTTGCCCCTGCCTCCAATTTTTCAGAAACTTGGCAGAGGAGTATTTTTTAAAATATATTTGATACGTAATTTTTTATCTGCGGAAATTCGTATTTAATGGATGAAAACCACCTTAAAGTTTACCCCTCAAACACATTTTTATTCAATGTCTCAAGACTGAATCAACATTTTTTACGAATTCCAACGTCTACTCATTTTTTTTAAAAAGACAAGTATTTGGGTAAAGTTTAGGAGCCAGAATGTTCATGTGTAAATTTGTCTAGGGGGGAAAACCACCCTTAAACTCACCTCCGAAACAGATTTTTGTAATATCTCGAGATTTGATCGGATTCTTTTCTTATAAAAAAAATACTGTTCTTTTCTTATAAAAAAAATGAGTATTCAAGCAGAAATTAGTGATCCAAATATGTTCAGCGGGTGAAAACCACCCTTAACATCCCTAAAAACCAATTTTTTTAATATTTCGAGATTGAATCGAAATTTCTTGATTAAATCAACGCCTGTTTATTTCTTATAAAATACTAAGTATTCAGGCGCAGTTTAGGAACAGAAATATATCAAAGGGGTAAGAAACAGCCAACCATATCAGCAAAGGAAAAGTTCATGTCCTCTTTATACATAGTTTTGAAAGAGAGTAAAGGAGAATTTGCACTTAGAATAGTACAAACTTTATTTAGACCACGAAATATATACCTAGAAGCATCTGCCTCTGGAAAATTATCCAAGGAACTACTTTAAAATTAGATTGGAAATGTATTTTTAGTTCACAGTGACAATGCACCTATATTTCTATTAGATTTATGGAGTGGACAATGTGAAAAAACTGTTAACGAAGCTTTACCAAATGACAAAAGTGTTGTATTGAAAACAATACAAGAAGGTACAACTGGTCAGATACAGCCTCTTGATGTATATGGATTTAGATTATGGAAGAACTTTATAAGAAAATTATCTGACCTAACACTTCTTATGGATTACGATCTCAACTTACACGAAAGAAATAATATAATCAAGATTCAATCGTTATCACATAACAAATTTTCTTTACCAAGATTTCAAAATGTTTTTCAATATACATGGTACAAAACTGGGTACTGCAACGGTAGTCGATTTTATTAATCGATTAGTTCGCAATTCGGTAACACTCGCGATGCTAGAGCGAACGACTAAGAGAGAGAAGCGGCGCGCGAGACTTCAAAGTTTTCAGTTAAGCGTCAACTGCTACTTGTAGAGTACCATCAAATAGTTTTTTCAGTGTTTCGACGTTTTGATAATAAAAAAAAGTTTCCTGGGAATTTTGATACGTGCGTGAGTGAGCGTACAGGCAATCACAGCAGCAGCAAGCGGACAGTAGCATTTAGTGCAGCAACAACAGTTTGATAGCGAGGTGAACCAGCGCAGCCTTACTAAGGAGGAAACCGTTGGCAGAAAAGTATTTCTTAAACAATCACAGCTGATCACCGTAATTGCACCGCAGAGTAGGTGCACCTCCCTTTTATGTGCGACAAAATACTAACAAGAATATTTTGTCTATCGCGACTATCATTTTTGTATTCGCGTCGAGCGTTAGATTTCGCGGCAGAATTTCGAATTCTCTCTCTCTCTCTCTCCCTGTATTATTGTAAATCATTGTAAATCCTATTCGTGTGCGTTAGTCTTTCGGCCCGTCAAAGACTGTAGTTTATTAGAATTAAGCTATATTAATTTTATTCGCCGCATTACGTAATTTCGTTTCTTATTAGTTTAACGGATCTATCACCGGTTCAATTTCAAACCGATTTCATCTAGGGGATAAGTTGGAATGAGCATTATGCCACTCACACCTAAGATAGATCGAGTGTCATTTTTAGTGTAACTTAAGGTGGGTTCAACTTATTGGAAAGAAGACACTGAAACGAAAAAAAACGAAACCGTACTACCCTGTGGCAAGAACTCATGATACACCACACCCCTGTAATCGAAGAAAACTGTGAGCAAAACCTTCATCTTATATCTAGTATAGTTTTCTTGATTGTCATATTATGTGATTCAGTGAATTTGTTGGTTAGCTTAATTATGTTTTCTATTTCTCAGTTGGTCTATTTAGTATTTTTTCATAATTGTAAATGGTCATTCTAGAGTGTGATCTATTATCATGAAGGTTACAATTACCTTGAGCATATGTATATGTATGATTTAATATCTAGTAATATGTTGTTTAGGAAAATTGTATCCTCGATGTCGTATACTCCATTCCATTTAGCCATTTTTCCAATGATATGAATAAATTCTTACAGTTGTATTTATATTTCTTAGTTTTCTTACTCGGTGTAATAAGTTTTATGGGTTGTATCCATATTTTGAGTTTTGTTTTCGTAGTATGTAAATTTTCTATTGATTTAAGTTCTTTAGGTAATTTATTAAATAACATAATAGCTCTAATAAAATTGTTTTTGATACGAGGGGGGTCAATAAGTCTTTACAAAATCCAAGAGATGGCGCTTGTGACACTTAAATTATGTTGTTTTTGGCAAGCAATGCTACTAACTAGATATCGTACAAAGTTTCAGCTCGATTCATTAAGTTGTTTTTTTGTAATCGTTGGTTGAACAAAAAGTTATTGGGTTATTTGAAAAATGGAAAGAACATTTTCATTTGAAAGGCCTTACACCAAAAGAAATCACAGTTGAGTTGAACGCCGTTCATGGCAAGTCTGCCCCTGTGCTTAAGACTGTTTATAACTGGGTAAATGAATTTAAAAGTGGCCGTACAACAACAAAAGATGAACCTCGTTCAGGACGCTCCGTAGAAGTGAGTACGCCCGAAATGGTCAACAAAATCAACGATATGATGTTGAGTGATAGAAGGTTCAAATTGCGAGAATTAGTCGAGGCCACAGGGGTATAAAAGGGTACAATCATTTCAATTTTGTATGAAAAATTGCGGATGAAAAAAATACCAGCAAAATGGGTGCCGCGTTTGCTAACTGTTAAAAACAAAAGAACCCGCGTGGTCACCTCTGAGGCTCTTTTGGCACGCATATGTCGTTATCCGGAAGACTTTTGGCGTCGACTCGTAACTGTAGACGAAACATGGGTACACTACTACACTCTTGACACCAAAGAACAGTACAAACAATGGATTACCGCAGGAGAACCAGCCCCAAAGAAGGCAAAGATAGTAAAGCCAGCTGGCAAGATTATGGCCACGGTTTTCTGGGATGCGGATGGAATCATCTAATCGATTACTTGGAAAAGGGCCAGACGATCACTGGACAATATTATGTGTCATTATTAGGTTAGCTGAAAGAAAAAATCAGAGAAAAACGTCCTCACTTGAACAAAAAAAAATGCCTCTTTGTTCAAGACAATGCTCGAGTTCACATATTCTATAGCAAAAATTAACGATTTAAAGTTCGAATTAATTAACTATCCACCATATTCGCATGATTTGGCTCACAGTGACTTTTTCTTATTTCCTAACCTGAAAAAATGGCTTGCCGGACAACGATTCACGTCGAATGAAGAAGTCATCGCCGAAACAAATGCCTATTTTGAGGGTTTTCAGAAATCATATTTTTCTGATGGCTTAAAAAAACTGGAAGGCCGTTTAATAAAATGTATCGACCCTTAAGTAGATTATGTTGAAAAATAAAAAAAAATTACATACGCAAAACTTGTTTTTCCTTCTTTTTGTAAAGACTTATTGACCCCCCACCCCCCACCCCTCGTACTGATTTATTTCAATCTTCTTGGTACTTGTAGACTGTTGTTTCTTGTTTTCTTGTCTTTATTATTGTATGTTGTAAAAAGTTCATCGTAATGGTACAGTAGTGATTCTAATGTGAAGGTTTTTCCTACATCAAGAGGTTGTTTCTTGATGATAAAGTTATTTTTATTAACTATTTTAAGTGATGTGTTTTGTAAATTTTGTAGTTCTTTAATTCTGTCAGAATGAGCTCCTCCCTGTGCAATAATTTCGTAAAATGCAATGTTGCGGAATAGGGCGTAATACATCATCCTAAGCACTTCCATGCTCATTATTCTCGATAATTTGTAAAAGATAAAGATTAAATACTGGTTTTTTTGTATAAATTTTGTAAGTGAAGGTCCCATCTCATATATCTATCATAAAGTTACACCTAAATACTTTATGTAGTCTTGTATATGGATTGTTTTACCTTCTATAGAAATATTCAAGTTTTTATGTATGCTATTACAGTTATTTCTAAATTGAAGATAGGCTATTTTATCAATTTTTAATGATAATCTATTTAAGACTAATTAGTCACCTATTTTTTGTAATTGATTATTCATCTTTCTTTCAACTTCTATCCAACTCCTATCAGATACAATGACTGCTGTATCATTTGCAAAAGATAGGATAGTTCATACTCGTACAAATATTTACACTGATCTCCTTTTTCACACAAACCTCGTCACGAATGTACCCCTTAACTTTCATTGATATATACTTTGAATACACATTAACTTTGTACAGTATTTCTTTTATAAAAAGCATCCAGATCATCAACAATAAATAGAGTAAAATTGTATATCGTCTTGTCATCACTAGAAAATTAATCGGATCATATAAAACTTAATTACAAACGATCTCTGAAATATAACTTACTTGAGATACATCATGCATAAACACTTGGCTCATTTTGTAAACAGTAGTGGTGACATGAATAGGACAATAACTATTTTTTCAAAAAAAGCTTTTTCAAATTAAGCTTTCTTTTAGTCATAATCCAGTGACATCTATATTCAATTAAGCAAAAAATTTCAAATCTGAAACAAATGAAAATCGTCCTTTGTTGAATCCAATTTCAATAGGTGATTCATTCAAAGTGTATTTTGTTAATTATACTATAGCCAAAGAACTTTATTGAACAAATTCATTGTTTCACTGTGTGTGTGTGAATATATATTCATAAATTTTGATTATTCAATATATGTTGTTGTAGATTCTAAGTATTTTATTAATATAGTGAAAAATGGTTGGCCGTAATACAGCAGTGTTAGCTGAAGAAATAATAGAAACACTCATTGATTTCGATATTTATATTGAATCCTGCAATAAACTGAAAAAAAAGAAAGATCCTGTTTGGCAAAAAGTGTGTGATAACTTAAAAAATAAAATAGAACCTTTAAATTTGTATATAAAAGTGCAGCAAAATAGACATAATTTTCAGACTTTATATTGTAAAAGAAAAGAACTATAATTTTTCAACAAACCAGTTTGTAAAAAGAATAGTGATGAGATTTCTGAATTAAACAGTGAACAAGACGAAAGTGAAGATTTATCAAGTAAAAAGAAGAGAGGTCAGAATTTGAGATTCAATTTTGAAATATCTCCAGAAGAATGGTCAAAAATAGAGCCAGTAAAAGGAATGTACAAAAATGGTAGGGAAATTCAATGTTTACAAGCTGGCTGGACAGACAGTTTAGTAAGAGAAATCTGGAAAGTTGAAAAGTTGCCCTGCAGTTATAATTTTAAAAGACATACTGTAGATAAATATAATAAATATATTGACATCATAGGCTACTGCACTATTTGTAAAGCTGATTTAAAAATTTATTGTGAAGAAAGGCCCATAGATGGAAAACCAATTGTGTTTCAAGTGGAAACCAAAAATTCTCATGGAATACCTCCTTCCAATAAAAGACGCTTGGCTGGTCCCCAAAGGATTGCAATTAAAAAAGAACTAGAGTGCAAAAAGCCAAAGAGGCAATCAAGGAAATGAGGTATGGAGATCCAGAACCATCATTTTTGTATAGCCCAAGTGTGATCAGGGAAGCTAATCACGAATTCAAATATGAAAAATTAGGTCTGAAACTAGGTGAGAACTTATTTGTGTCCTTCGACAAATTAAAAAAAGATGTGGAATACAATAAATATTTCAAAGGAATTGGATACGACAAATTTTTTTTTATGGTTTGGTCACCTGAACAAGTAAGTGTCCATAACGACATTCAGTTAAAATTGAGAAATCCTATGTCTCTTGATACAACAGAATCAGTGGTTCTAAAAATCAAAAGACCTGATGGAGAATGTCATGATATTTTTCTAACCGTACTGTCAACTTTTATAAATAAACTAATTGTACCTGTTTGCCAAGAATTATCGGAAAAGAATGATACTAATTTTTTATCATTTTGGCTTCTCGAGTGGAGGAAATCAGGTGCAAAAGTACCAGAATTCATTGTTACTGACATGGGTAAAGGTATACAAAACGCTGTCTGTTTGGCATTTAATGGAGTCAATTTTTCTAATTACAACGATGAGTGCCTCAAATATCTATTAAAAAAAGATTATAAGATTAATTTGAATACCCATTTAAGAACTGATGTGGCACACTTAATACATGCCGTAACTAGGTGGCCTTGCTTTGCTAAAGAGAAGCAGAAAATAAATGAATTATTTAAGCGATGTGTGGGCTACATGACACAGATTGACAATCTACAACATTTTTCAGAGTTTCTGGTAGCTTTCTTCATTGTATCTGGCACCAAGTACAATGATGACTATTGTCAAAAAGCTTTAGTATATTTAATTGAAAAAATCCAAACATATGAATTAAATAATAATAAAGTTAAAGAGAAATAAATATTTTAAATGAAAAAGAAACAGTAGATATTTTTATAGAGACTAAAAGTGGCAATGGAAAAAATAAATTAAGACTTACACGTAATTATATAGAAGAATTAAAAAAGAAAAGTACTGAAAACAATTTTGACAATGACAATTCTTTATATTTTCGGATACAATCAAATAATTATTATTTGCCTAGATTTCTTGATAGATTATCAAGTTTATGTGAGTTGTTATTATGAGTTATTATGAGTTCCCATGCTGGACAAATGTCATGAATCACTATTTTAACAATACTGAAAACATGGCGACTTCAGCCAGAGCTGAAAGCTACTTTAGTGATTTTAAGTGTTTAAATGGCGTTTCGCAGAGAGCAGATATAGTTTTCGTAAACCATTGTCGTCAAATAAATAGTGACATGATACTAGCGCGTGCTGCATTGAATGATTTGCAGCCAAATCTGTTTGCCATACCAAAGAAATGTGATAAGGATGACAATGATTTCCTATTTGCAACAGAAAGTTGGAAAAGAAAGTCAACAGGACCAGAATTTACTGAGTTTCTTTCGGAAACAATTGACATTACTGGATCAATTACGGAAGAGTTAGTTTATGGAAAACACGAATCAATTATAAAAGATAAAAAGATACCTGAGGAAAGAAAAAATGCTCCCTCCTGTTCAGAATCAGTAATAGTAATAGATGATAGCAATGACTCTGATTTGCAAGCGTTCTCTGATAATGTAAAATTGACTTCATCATTTTGCAATGATAACATTGAGAATAGCAATCATGCCTCTGATAAAGTAAATTCACTAGTATTAGATAGCAGCAAATCACAATCTACTGATTTTCATAGCGACCATAGCTACCACATACATGCAATGACAGAACCAGAAAGAAATTCAATAAATAAAACTCGTGGTAAATATGTCTCGGCTGAACCAGGGTTAGATTTAATATTACAGAAGCAAAAACAAAAAAGTAGAGGTAGAAAAGTGATCCAAAATGGAAACAAACAGCATGAAAGAACAGTATATGGCAAAAAGTATAAATTTACGAATACATGTGCATTTGATACAGTCACAGAAATTATAACTCATGCTTGCTTTGAAGTGCAACTTTTCAAAGAATTCATACAGGCAAATATCAATAAAACTTGGTCTACACAAAACTTGTGCTATACAAGTACGATTTCAAACTATGCAACAGCATCAATAACCAACACTTTATACAGTAATAGGGCTTACATACTTTATTCAATGCAAAAAGAACTAAAAAACTATGAAATAAATTGTGAAACTAACATTAATAATTTATTGTGCTCTCTAATAAAAAATTATAGCTGTATTAAAGAAGAAACAGTCTGTCAAATTTGTGGAAATATATCTATTAAAAACAAATGCCTGGTTCCATTACCAAATACAAATATCATAAAAAAATATAATTATAGTAATTTAAAGGACAAACTCTGAAATTTTGAAAGAAAAACTGTTTTTTGTGTAAATTGTAATAGCAACAATGTCTATCTATCTCATATAATGGGTGCTTACTTATGTATCGACACTGAAGATGGATATAAAAATTGTGATGATAATGAATTGGATATAACTACGTCTTTGGATAAATTACCAATTACCCTAAATATAAACACTGATACCTTTGCTCTATGTGGTGTTGCAAGATATATCCCTTCAAGCTTCAAAGGTGGTATGGGTCATTATGTTGCTTATTGCAGGAAAGTCAATGGCACTTGGAATGAAAGAAATGACTTATCGACATTTAAAAGCACAGTTACAGAATCTGAAACAAAATGCTTGCAAATGAAAATTAGTTTCTTATTTTATGCTAAATATGTATAATAATTAATTAAATATGTATTATAATAAAAATAAGTAAAATTGAACTATAATATTGTATTAATTGTAAATAGATATATTAGTTCCAAATTCAATCATTCATATCTATATAGGTAAACTAGACAATATTGATTGTTTTTTTTCTCTTCAAGCTTAAATATCTTCACTTATTTGTTTAATTTTGTATCATACTAAAAATTCATGTGATTCAGTCTCATCGGATCAAATTAATAAGACTACTGAAAGATATTTATCCAACAAGGTTACGGCAACATGGCCAAAATATTCAAAATGGTAATTATTATGTTCATTACAAAAGTTCATAGATACTCGTATTGAAAAAGAAAGAGCTACTTTAATTATTTGGAATTATGAAGTAATCGTTGAGAGTTACATTTGCTAAAATTACTTACTACTTGATAACATGAAAGCAATTTCAGTATGCTTTTTCACGAAAGCAGATTGTTGCATGTATTTTATAACCATAGGCTCCATGGTTGAACCTTAGGGACTGTTATAGCCTCCATGGCATGGAGAAAGTGCTAATGTGATATACTTTTCGATTTTGAGGATACTCTTACATGCGAGCGGCAAGTGGTGAGCAGCAAGCGGAAAATCCGATTTGAGTGATTTGTTGAAAGTTTTTCCGATATAACAGTCGAAAAACTGTCCTAGGGTCCTAGGGGGGCTGCGCCTATCTTTCGACTACTAGCGGAACTGCGGAAGCCTAATAGTCCAGTAAAATTAGACCTGAAAACAATTTTCTATAGAAGTAGATGCATTTGGTATATATGGTAAATTGAAGTCGATAAAACCGATTCTGACATTTTCAGAGCTCTAGGTGAAGGGGATCTATGAAAAACGAACGTTTGAAAACTTTTATTGCTTATATCTCGCGAACGGTTAGACCTACGGACAAATAACACACACCAATCGAAAGAGCATAAAATTTTACATAAATTACAATGGTTTGCGCAGCTTCGATGAGCGCAAAATGTTGAGAAAAAAATTAATAAAAAAATTTATTTGAATGAAATAGGAGGTGAAGGTGCGCATGGCTTGCTTGACGCTCTCTTCTGCCGCCAGTGATGAGAACCGGTCACCCATCCAAAACATTTTTTTTTCCTATTCGCAATACATCTAGGTCTGTTTGCAATATAATATATACATGAGAGGATATGAATGTTTCATTTTTGACGTTGCGAGAAATGTTTCATGCGAATGATTATATTGAAGACATGAGCTTGACTATTAAATTTTAAAATAAAGTTGTCTAAAATTTCGAATCTAAATCATTTCCCAAATACTATAGATTATTCGGCATCATTCGGCAAACTTGAGATATTCAAAGGTACGATGCTACCATCGCGGACATCGAAAAGCTTTCTCGTGGAAATATAACAAGGGTGCAATTTCTATCGGCTAAGATTCAATTTTACTAGCTATTCATTTTTTTAATAATTGCAATAGTTACGTTACCATCGCTGCCGCAAAAAGACAAAATCATGCCCACGAACTGTCAACGCCTTACGGCGGAAAATCTGCCGGGAAAAGCCTTCTCGTCGAAATATAACAAGGGTGCAAATTCTATCGGCTAAGGTTCAATTGTAATTGCTATTCATTTTTTTAATAATTGCAATAGTTACGTTGCCATCGCTGCCGCAAAAAGACAAAATCATGCCCACGAACTGTCAACGCCTTACGGCGGAAAATCTGCCGGGAAAAGCCTTCTCGTCGAAATATAACAAGGGTGCAAATTCTATCGGCTAAGGTTCAATTGTAATGGCTATTCATTTTTTTAATAATTCAATAGTAACGTTTTATGTCTGTACGCGCGAGTCCCGATTCGGCGCCAAGGCTTGTTAAAGCTTGCAGCTGTTAAATGGACAAATAATGGGAAAAATCAAAACTAAATCATTGACAATAGCTTATCTAAGCCTACCAATGATTAATCAATGAATTTTGTAATTTGCACCCCCACAATATATTTCTAATAGCATCTCAAAATGGCATAAGACGCATTAATCGAAATAAAAATGGTCCAGGTATTTTTTGAGAAATAGAAATAGGCCAAACCATAATAAATTTCCCAACAAAATGAATATTTTTTTTCTTCAAGTTCGAGATCTGGCCCAGGGTCGGTTATTTTAACATTTGTTGTTGTAGAGCGAGCCTTACTTTTGGAATTCAAAAATGTCGGCCGCGCCTGCGCATTGAACGTCTGCCAGTCGCTTTGATAAGCAAAAATGTTAGATTTAATTTTATTAGCTCAGATTTAATTATATTCCAAAACT